GGAATGGCATATTTCCATATAGCTACTAAAATATGAATTAAATCAATGAAGTATAGTTGACATTTCACCTGTATATAGAGCTACTTTCCATTCCATTCATTTCATCTTAAAATAGAAACCACTTTCAATTATGACATATTTGCAGGGACTATGTAAGTTGCTTTATATGGCCTAAAACACATTAATCTATTTTTTTTCCTTTAAAAAGTCAATAGCTATGGATTGTATCCATGTAAACACATAAAATCATTCTGTAAAGGTAGACTTACCAACAAATAGTTGGCTGTTGAGCTGCAAACGGATATGTCCATCAGATGGAGCTGAATAAGTCCTTTGAGGAAGCTGGTCTACTTGCAGAGATGCCTCTTTGATGTTTCTTTCAGCCTTCACATAGTGCCACTGGTTGTCATTTAAGGGAATAGGTGACTGCACTGTGATTTCATTAGGCCCATTTCCCACATCAAATGAAAATGTCACTTCAAGAGGTGCTATGAAAGTTAAAAATAACTAAGACACTTTAGAATGGCAAGCACAGTTTATTGTAAATATGACTTTATACCTCTACTTTGATGTTCTTATTGGATATATGCTAAGAATAATACTTCGTTAAAACTCAATAAAAATTTAGGTATAAAGTTACAGTAGAAATAATGCCCATGAATATTAACCAGCTAACTATAATTTGTTTTCTGAAGTATAAATATGTACAGTGATTTGAATTGCTACAAATAAAATAGCATATTTGAAATATTGTATTGGACTGGTATTAAACTTACTTTCTGTTTCATAGTTTTATTAACAATTTCAACCCATCTGTAATTATTTCAAGAGCATGGAGTATAATTTAAATATTAACTATAGATGCCAAATATTTTCATATTTGGTCATAAATGCTTCCAATTTTTTAAAAAATTCAATATTGTTTTGTAAAAGGTTCTTATCTACTCATACAACTTGTACTTATTCAATTCCCAACGTATATCTGAACTACAGTAAAAGTGAAAATTCACATCAGTTACAATAGACAATCCAGCAACTTGGCACAGGCCAACTCACTGTAGATGTTGTCATACAAAATTTCTAGAACTCAGCAAATATTTCATATTCAATTACAACCATTTTTAAAATGCTATTTGGCCTAAGTATGGCTGGAAAAATCACTATATCACTCCCATGTCCCTTGGAAGTTTTGTCAATACAATCCTATTTTTTAGAAGAAATACTTTTATTTAAAAGAAGGATAGGGACTTTTTACATATTTGGTGAACTGATGATGCTACCTAGTTTGGTAATGAACTTTCTGCAAGAACACCACCAAGTTCAGAGAGCACCAACGACCCCACAGTTCAATTCTGAGCTATAAATATTTTCTTGTATCAGAAGAGAATGTGTGTGTGTGTGTGTGAGAGAGAGAGGGGGGGAGGGAGGGAGAGAAAGAGAGAGAGAGAGAGAGAGAGAGACCAAAAGTCACCCATCTGTCTAAGGCAATATAGACTCACCATCTCTTGGTTTCTAGGCCAGGACCTAGAGAGAGAGAGATGTCTGTGTATGTTTTTCTCTCCCATACAAATGTCTTATAGTAGGTTGTTCTGGAAATGTTTAGAGTCATAACTTTGGATCTCAACGAGATCCATTTTGTATCTCTGTGTGCTGGAACTTCTCCTTTTTCACCCTCTCACCACTAGTGATGCCATCAGAGACACTCTGATGAAGGTCATGGAATCAGTACCCATAGCAGGCAAAGTGTTATGCAATATTATGTTCTGTTGTAGTAGTTCAGTTGCATAGGAACTGTGGGACCATAAATCTCAGCCTCTTTCATATTATGTCCACATTAGGCAAAAATCTGAAAAAATTACTATTTAGATATGTTGAAATTGAACCTCGATAATACAATCTAGAAAATGCAGGTTTGTTGATTACAATTTTTGGGTGAAGGTTTATGTAAGTTTATGCTAAAAAGCAACAACCCAGTGAATTATCTCTTAGCTAAAAGAAATTGTGTAAATATCCTACTATTGTCTAAAACAGGAGTTAACTGAAAATTAAATTCTAGTGTAAATTTATGTGAAAAAATCATTTGTTTAATTATACATACATTTATAAATGGAATTATTCAGACCATTTATTGACTATTATGGGCATTAAAACTATGACAGTCTAACATTTGGATGCTAGCTACATACTGGAATCTGCTGTATTGCTTTTGAGGCAAAAGATATTAGTTGCTTCAAGGGTTTCCAGTTAGGAAGACAGGACATGAATTTAGATATAATCAGATCTAGTCACAAAATTGATCTTCTCAACACAAATATACTTTTCTATTCAATGGAATCACTCACTGTGTAGACTGTTAATTCATCTCGTGTTTGAGCAGTATTATATGGAAAAGGATACTCCTAAGAGGTAATCAAAATATATTTGTTTTTCAAGAATAGGTTTTGTGAAAAATATACTTCTAAAATGAATGAATGATTGATTGTTTGAATGAATGAATGATGTTAAGTAGCAGATTGTATATATTTGAAGTGCTGCACATATACCTGATGAATATAATTGAAATGAATAACCTAGCATGAAGTAGTAAAGTCATTTATATTCAGAGTTTGCTACATTGATGAGAACCAGTCAATTGAATTTTGCTCTTATGTCACAATTAAGGGAACTTATTTTCCAATCATTTTGGAAGCAGAGCTCTTTCCTGAAATCAGTTATTGACTCTGCATAAAAATCAGTAGTGCTGTTTGGTGCTTAAAACAAAACAGCTTTAGATAACAAAATAATAAAATTAAATATGTTGGGCCATCAGTAACTGAAGGCAGGACTCCCAATGAGCAAGGATCTATATGATAGGTTTGATAAATTAACAAGAGACTAAAAATGTACAAATCTTCAGTCAAGATTCTCATGGAAATAGTCAATTACATATCTAATATATATTCCTGGGTCAATGAAATAATCTGTTTCTTAAATTAAGGAAATAAAAAAAACAGATAATTAGCATTTTTTAACCTTTTCTAAAATTGAATGTTCTCTTAAAACACCCAATAAACTAATGTTTTTAAAATGCCTGGAAGATAAAATATATCAATATGTATTTAGATATATACCTGTACAATGTACAGTGACACTTGCAATTTCCTATAAGCTTCTGGCACTTTTACCAACTGTTTGAACCTACAGATGATGTCTATTGCTCCCTTCTACTTCCTTTTCTTTTTCTCGGCTCTGTCTTTGGAGATGGGACTATGAAGATAACCTATAACCTTGAACACTGCATAAGAATCACCCTATTATATACTTTATTCATTAAACATAAAACTCAGCCAACTGAACATTCAAAAATACATTACAAATACTCTCTCTCTGTGTGAGTCTGTGTGTGTGTGTGTGTGTGT